GCCATATGGTTTGTCTTCTCTGCAAGTGGTGAAGAGTGGGGCCAGGGCCACAAAAAAAAAAAAAAAGAAACAAAAGAAACAGAGGAATGAATCCTTTGCTAGAACATGGGACCATACATGGCCATATGATTTGTCTTGTGTGCAAGTGGTGATGTGCTCCACTCGGCCCTTAGGGCCACTAAAAAAAAAAAAAGAAACAAAAGAAACAGAGGAATGAATTCTCTGCTAGAACATGGGACCATACATCGCCGTATGTTTTGTCTTCTGCGCAAGTGGTGACGTGCTCCACTGGGCCCTTAGGGCCACTAAAAAAAAAAAAAAAGAAACAAAAGAAACAGAGGAATGCATCTTCTGCTAGAACATGGGACCATACGTAGCCATATGTTTTGTCTTTTGTGCAAGTGGTGACGAGTGGAGCAATGGCCCTAAAATAGAGAGGTAGTAACCCATAACTGCTGAAAAGCAGACCTGACTTCGGATCCAGAAGATATATTGTTGGCCTGCTCCCCCAGTACACGAAATTCGCAACACGTCTCTTCAGACGTTGCGACCTTTTCTGATGCATTGGGGTCCTTCCGCAAAGAGACAATTCAACAAGGAATTCGTATGCTCAATCTTTTATCCCTGTGCCCTTCGATATTTTAGAAGGGAGGGGCACTTTTTTAAACTCTACTTATTGGGGCTGTTGGGGTGGAATATGGGGTGTTGGGGTCTGCTATGGGGGTGGTGTTGATATTATTAGGGGTTCTGGAACTCAAAAAAAAGAAAAAAAAAACGAGGTGCCGACGGGGACTCGGAAGGGTGCCGAAAGAAAAAATGCGGGGTGTCGGCGGTGATATTACTAGGGGTTCTGGACTCCAAAAAAAATGCGGGGTGCCAAAAAAACAAATGTGGGGTGCCGGCGGGGGGCGGTGGTCGGCGGGGTTTGGGGGTCGGAGGTCGGGGGTCGACGGGGGTCTGCGGGGGTCGAGAGGGTGCGAGGCTGTCTCTTATACACATCTAGATGTGTATAAGAGACAGAGCTATGGCTATGGAGTCCTGCCCTCTATGAGGGCTAATGGGGGCTCTGGAAACCTCGATTTTAGTGAAGCCTCCAGCCCATCCCAGGTCCGCGACTTTAACATGAGAGTATACACCTCCTCACTTATACACATCTAGATGTGTATAAGAGGAAGCCTCCAGCCCATCCCAGGTTTGCGACTTTAACATGAGAGTATACACCTCCTCACTCAGCTTTTCGCAGACGAACAACGACAACATGCTCCA